AGAAAGCCTCATCTTTCTCCCGCGGAGCAGCTGGTAGTTTCGAACCGCTGACCTTAAGGTTCGCAGCCCGATTCGTAACCACTACGCTACCAGATATATAGGTATAATTTTAAATTTTCATTTAAAATTATTTTCTTCAGCATTTACATATTTGTGTATTATTTTATATACATACATAAGGGAGCTTCAGCAAGTTTATAGAAAAATTCAATCATTTTTTTTTAATTGTGAATTGAGTGAAGGTTTACAGAAAAGATCATCAGTTTTACATTCAACAAATGACATATTTTATTTCCTTACAATGATTGCAGTCCACTCCATGCAACAATCATCCCACTTCTGCCCTGTGTCCACTCACCTTCCCATCCCTTCTCAACCTGGTCCTTAAGTAAATGTTGCCCTTTTGATCTTGAATGATTGACCATTTCAGGGTGAGCAAACCTTGCTAGTGTTGTTGTATCTCCCATATACCTATCTATTGCTTGGCTGAAAATTGGGCCAATAGTGCGAGTTTCGTCCCACACCTGAAGAGTGGTTGAGGGCCAGTCTTGGGTTCTTCCATTCTCTTTTGGACCAGTAAGCCTGATGGTTATAGTTGTTGTTTTAATAATTTTGAGATTTGTTCCACATTTCCTTCCAGTCTATCCAGGACCTTCTCCTAATGCAATCCCTTTCAGAGTCGTGGTAGCTGGACACTACCTAGTTTTCTGGACTCATAGTTGTGGTAACGGATGTTTACCTGCTCCATTAGCTTATTGGACTGGTTGATTCTAGGCAGCTTCAATTTTCATCATTCTTCTTTCTTCCCCACATGGAGAAACCATAGCTGCACCTCAGATCTTTTAAGACACTAGTCGCTATTCATCACAGTCGGATGTAGAACATTGTCTTTGTGGACTATGTTATGCCAACTGATCATGGTGAGACTCAGGGGTGAGACTATGGTCCTTAGCCCCCAAGCCCAGGAACTCATTGCCATAAGATGTTTGATAATATCTAAGATGTTTTCATGATTCTGACCACATTCTTAGGTGTGTTTGCAACAAAGGTAAATACCCATGTACAAATATCCTCTTCCAACCATTATCTTTTCATTTCATTTTCCCAAGAACTTTTTGAAGCTCCCATGTACATACATATATATGTATATACATATATACACATGTCAGTATGTATATATAAAACTTTTCAAAATTATAAAGCTTAAAGAATGAAGTCTATCTAGATCATTAATTTTAATAATGGCTCTGAAAATAATTTTGTTACTGCTCTATTTTTAGGTGTTGAAGAAAATGTACTCCAACTTACATGAAGTCCACACTAATTTCTTCATTCCAGCATGGATGAGATCCACTTGCAGTGTTGGTTTGATATACAGTGTGTTGAAAAGAAACTTCCACAAAAGGGTGTACAGTATCCTGAAACAAATAGTAAACATTGACTAGGTTTTTGCAGGAGTCCTGGTGTGGTGCTGTAGGATAATGCACTAGACTGAAAGGTCGATTTGAACTGCAAGGTTGGCAGTTCAAACTCAACAGCCGCTCCTCGGAAACCCCGTACAGGGTCAGAACTAACTCAACAGCACTTAACAACAACAACAACAACAACAACAACAACAACAACAACAGGTTTTTGTAATAATTTTATCTAGTTGATGAAGTTAGAGAAGCATGAAATTATTTTGTTAATGACTGCTAAGTAAATGGCTTACTTTTTTCTAGTTTTTCTAATTAGCATTATTTATTCATTCATTTCCTTAGTAAAGATTTATTGGTCCTATTATATACCACGCTAGACTGCAAAGTCACTTTGAACCACAAGGTCAGCGGTTCAAGCTCACCAGCTACTCCTCGGAAACCCTATACAGGGTTGCCATGGGTCAGAATCAACTCAACAGTACTTAACAACAACAACAATTATATACCATGGGCTTTTCTAGGATTCAAAGATAAATGGAATTTTCTCTTAAGGATTTAAAACTAAATAGGGGGAAAAAACAGAGAAATAAATAATTGCAATGAAATACGAGAAATAAAGTAATAGAAACATGAGAGGCTTCAAACCACTCATAGAAAAATTCCATTATCTTTTAACTCCATTTTCCATGAACTTTTTGAAATCACCTTGTAAATTCAAGACATAACCAACAGAGAGAATAACCAACTTTTTGGGGTGAAGATAAGAAGGGATTGACAGGGGAAAAAATTCCCTGAGCTTGGGTTTTGAAGCATTAAGTAGAAATTCACTTAATTAACAGTTTGGGAATATGTTGAGACCATTCCAGGCAAAGAAGAGATCCTGCACAGGACATGTACAGGGCATGCAGGCCTGCTAGGACAAGCAGTAATATGACACTGGAGTGGCGTGAAGTGACTGGTAGGCCAGGGACAAATCATTAAAGATTTTTGTAGCCATTTAAAGACCATGAGAGCAGGAAATGACATGGCTAGAATTATATAAAGAAAATGTTTACTGTGTTATGAAAAGTGAACTGAAAACCCAAGAGATTACATGTGAAGAGGCCCATTAGAAACAAATTATAATTCATAATCAACACTTGAGCTTTACAGAAGGGTTAAATACTCACTGTGTTTAAGATATTCTCTAAGGCTACGGGTTTGATTGTTTCTTTATGTCTGAGACGAGATACAGATGACATCAAATAAGCAGACATATCCAAGGATCTTCAGGAAAACAATACCAGACATATACTTTAATTAATTTTAGTTTGGTGGATATTTTGCCTATGCTTGTAGATCCTCATATTGCAGATGGTTTGAACTAAGCATTTAATAATCACCATTTCAGAAGAGTGACTAAATGCCGAGCTAGGGACTGGATCCAATCTATACTAGTGTCACTTCTCCTCAACAAAATGCAAAAATAGTAATAATAATAAGGAAAGTGATTTTTGGAACTATATCCTTCCTACTTTTTTGTTATTACAATATTCCTTCTTTTACAAAATGATGATTTCTAGAAAGTGGTGGTGGTTTTTTGCCTTTCATTTCATTAAAATGTTAGCCTCTGAAATGTGCATTTATTTTGAGAGCATTCTATTCTATTTGATGAATTAAGATTGTAGTTTGTAAAATGTAGACAAAACTTATAAGAGGCTTAACTATAAATTACTGTGACGGAAGACCTGGTGGTATAATTTTGATAAATAAGTCATTGAAAACCACATGAAGCTCGGTTCCCTGACACACATGGGGAGGTTGTGAATCAGAGATGACTCGATGGCAAGTGGTGGATTTAACTATAGATTACTAGTTAGTAACTACCACTGGTCCGTCTGTTTGTCATACTGTGTTGCTGTGATGCTGGAAGCTATGCCTGGGGTATTTTAAATACCAGCAGGGTTACTCATGGTGGAAAGGATTCAGTGGAGCTTTCCGACTAAGGCAGACTAGAAAGAAGGAAAGGCAGACCAATTTGAAGTAATTAGCCACTGAAAACCATGATGAATAACAGCAGAATATTGTTTGATATAGTTCTGGAAGATGAGTCCCCTTCATTGGAAGGCACTCTAAATACAAGTGGGGAAGAGCTGCCTCCTCAAAATATAGTTGACTCTAATGACATGGACTGCCAAAAGAATCAATACATCTGTTTTGGAAGAGGTGCAGCCAGAGTGCTCCTTGGAGGCCAAGATGGCTAAACTTCATCTATCATACTTTGGACATATTGTCAGGAGGGAACAGTCACTGGAGAAGATGGAGGGTCAGAGAAAGAGAGGAAGACCCCCAATGAGATGGATCAGCCAGATGGCATCATTGATGGCATCAAGTGTGGCAGCGGTAATGAGGTTGGCCCAGGATCAGACATAGTTTCGTTCTGCTGTGCATGGGGTCGCTATGAGTCGGTTTTGACTCGATGGCACCTGACAACAACAACAACAACGACGACGACGACATGAATGGAATAAAGCCTTCAGGACCTTCATTTGCTCATGGGGCACAACCCAAAATGAGGAGAAACAATTGCAAACATCCATTAACCACTGGAATATTGAATGTATGAAGAAGTATGAATCTAGGAAAATTGGAAATCATCAAAAATTAAAAGGAATGCATAAAAATCAATAACAACAACAAGCAAAAGGTTTGCTTTTCGTGGGTAAAATCCATGGGATGTGATAATTGTAAGCTAAGCAGTTAGAGAATACACACATTAGACATAGAGAGCTATATGTTAAACATACCGAACATTCTGGAGGCACCTGAGTACTAATATACTAAGGTCCATAATGTGGTTAAGTGCTGTCAAATAGGTCTTGATTCATAGTGATCGTGTATAGGGTTTCTGAGGAGCAGCTGGTGGCTTTGAGCAACTGACCTTGTAGCTCAAAGTCCTGTGTAAGAGGCACTAAATTCAGAGTGTCCTAAATATATAGGGACACTTAATATTTATGAGGTTTTCATTTGGCCCTGGTGGCTCTGGGGATAAGCTCTGGACTGCTACCCACAAGGTCAACAGTTCAAATACATCAGTTGCTGCGAAGAAGACAACTGAGGCTGTCTGTTTTCATAAAGATTTACAGCCTTGACAACCTTGTACAGCGTCACTGTGAGTTAGAATCAACTTGCTGGCAGTGGGTTTGCTTTGGTTAGTTTGGCCATCCATTGGCATACCCATTCTGATCTCTGTTCTACCCAAGACACACAAAACCTGAGTGCCGACAGAAGGAAGGGAGAGATTTGATTTTTGCAGAAGTCACCTACAGTGACAAGTACCAAACAGAAAGAATAGGGTTTAGCTGTAACAATCCTGATTTCATGAAGCATTTCAAGTTTGCTTCACAGCTTTCCTGGGATGTTTCCTAGTACAAAATTAATGCTCCACCTATACTTTGCAGCTCTCTGCTTCTAGCACTGAGAGGGGAAGATGGCATGGAATAGTGCCGTTTGTATCACCAGCTTCAGAAGTTTTCACAATAGGAAAACCAACAGTTTAGTACAGCATGAAAAGATGAGCAAGTAGCAAACACACCCAAAATATATGTGATAAAGTTATTTTGGGAGCCTCAAACCTCTGAAAGCTCTTAATCATTCATGGCAATGCCAGTAAGCTTGACTACACAAATGAAGACTTCAACTTTCACTTGGCTTATATGGAAAGGAGCTCTGGTACTGTAGTGGTTACGAATTGGGCTGGTAAATTCAAGGTCAGTAGTTCAAAACTACCAGCTGTTCTGTGGGAGAAAAGAGTAGGTTTTCTGTTCCCGTAAAGATTTACAGCCTCGGAAACCCTGTGCAGGGTCACTATGAGTCGGAACCGACTCCACGGCACATAACAACAACAACTACATGTATATGGAACATTCCTATAGAGTACAAAGCTGCACAAATAGGACAGCATGGGTTTATCACATTTTAGATCTTTTGAAACTTAAAAAACTGGTGTATATTGCCTTACCTACTGACTGCTGGTTTTCTGGTAGGAATGTTATAGGCTCTCAGGATTCTGACAAGAATCTTTAGGTCTCCATGAGAGACAGTCTGTGCAGCAAGTGTTTTCCTTTCTTTCCTTTGAGGTTTTAACTTCCTTCGTGGTTCAACAAGCTTACAAATTGCATGTGTCAACTGGCTACAGCGTAAAAACAAGTATTGATTTTTGGTTATTTGTTGTAAATAAGGGCATTTTTAGGGATCATATTCTATTTTAAAGAAGAAAAAGAAAGGCATCTCTTTGAGCATAGAAAAGAAGAGACGCTATAGTCACAAATGTAGAGAGAGTGTGACTGCTCACGCCTTGTGTATGTGATCCAACAAAAGACATGGAGATGGAGAGGTAAAGCCGTGACACATGATGCTCTTTCAGAATATTATTCTTTTTCCAGAAATTATTCTCTTGAAAGTTATTGGGCATTTAAATTCTGTACATGCCTCAAACAAGAGGTATTCGTTTTACATGCTGCCAACCTTGGTGACATAAACCAATAGAATTATACCCTCTCTTCCCACCACTCTTAAGGGCTGGAAATAAAGCACAACAGATTTCATCATCCTAACCCAACCAAAACTATCGCTAATACAATGAATCACCTAAAAATGGTTCCCAGAGAGGTTTCCCAGAGACACAGCAATCCTACTCCTGTTTCGACTCCTACATTTCACAATTGGACAACTAGGAATTGAGTTACTTCACACAAAGCTTCCCTGAAGTGCTGCCTGTGGGTCATGCGACTCTGGTATGCCCAAGAACACCATTTTGAAAAGGGGAGATTACAAGCTATCGGAATGATTTTTCTAGTAGGACCAGGGCAGGATCAATCTTAGGGCAAAATTAATCCGGGATAAATGTGTTTCTTTTATTTTTCCTTCTTGTCCTAAAAAGTATCAATAAGGAGAGCGAGGAAAAACTACCCTTAAAGACAATACAATTAAAAACATGTATCATGTAGTAGATATAACTAAAAAGCAATTTTAAAATGACTAAACATAGTTTAAGTCACTATATCTCACTTTACGCTTTAAGCTGGATCTTCTGACCTGTGACTTAATATAAAAAATAAAGGCATTATTAGAGGACACTGAAGGTATTAGCATAAAGCTTTACAATGCATTTCATATTTAAAGCAATTTTAGTATGTGTACCTTGCAGATACAATTTCTTCATAATCAGTCACAACATCGGATAAGTTAAATCTGCTAACTTTCACAATTCTTTTCATTATCAACCTTCTTATCTACGAAAAAGCATATTTTGAGAATTTACAGATAGGCATGGTTTATATTTTAAGGCTAAGTATTTGCCATACTACTAGTGCCACTATATATATTTGGTTAAATTTTTATTGTGAGGTTTACATGGGAGAACATCAGCTTTACACTCATCTTATCGTACTTTGTTTCATTGCAGTGATGACAGTCCCCTCCATGCATCATCATATAACACCAAAGGGTACACCACACAGGTCCACTCCCCCCCGCCCCCCATGGCTGCCAGAATACAGCCCTTCTCCTGCCCTGAGTCCAGTGTCCCCGGCCACTCCATCTGTCCATGTCATCTTCTGTCTCCATCCCTGGCATCACTGCCTCACTGGGTAGGTTCCCACTGTTATTTTCACTTGATGGTCCCAGGGACCTCCGCTCCTCGGCTGAAAAATTGATCACTCTCCTCCTTTTGTCAAAAAACATCTACCTCTGTATTTCCTAGACTCACAGTCAGTCCTGATGACAATTATTCACTATTGTACCACAAGAGTCTTATCCCCATTTCCTTTCGCCAGCCTGGCTCCAACAGATTGGAAATCATTCAGCGGTGATTCTACCTCCCCCCCGCCCCATCTGGAACTAGGCTCCCTCTTGAAAGCGTCACTTCTTGACTTTATAGCCCCCCCACCCCATTTTGGGTAGCCATGTCTATGTTGCCCATCCCTGTCAAGCCTGTGTACTGAGGGTGTGGGAGTGATCCTTGCTGTAAAGATTCATTCCCTTTTTTGAGCTACTATGTCCCCAAGTATAAGGAGCTCTGGTAGCGTAGTGGTTACGAATCGGGCTGCGAACCTTAAGGTCAGCGGTTCGAAACTACCAGCTGCGCTGCGGGAGAAACATGAGGCTTTCTACTCCCGTAAAGATTTACACCCTCGGAAACCCTGTACAGGGTCGCTATGGGTCGGAACCGACTCGACGGCACTTAACAACAACAACAGTGTCCCCAAGTATAGGTAAAGCTCATCAAATTGTAGCAGGTTATTTTTTTTTCTTTTCCCCTCTTCTTTGTTCTTCCAGTCAAGTTCTGATCATCTAGCCAGCGAAACCAGGTCAAGTGGGTATTATCTGCAAGTATGGGTGTTCTTGTACCTCTCCCCTCACTTCATATCAGCTGGACGCTTCATTCTCCACTCTAATCCTCTGTGGCCATGCCGCTGTCTCTGGGCCCATGAGTCCCCAGGTCTTGCCATACTGCTGGCCATCCAGGTCTCCACCTGGGATCACGAGGGTCTATTGAATGTGGTTGGCCTTAGCTCGCAACTTCATTGCTGTTTTTTTCCCCCTTCCCTTATCGGTGACCAATGTGGTCATCACCATCCAGACTACATGCCTGCTCATGTATTTCCTTTATGTCTCAGTCTTAGAATGGGGTTTGCTCTGAGGGGTCCCGACCACTTGCCTTGATGGCTCTCGGGCAAACAGCTTACTTGTTCTTGTAGTAATCAATCAGACTGCCGTTATTGTTTTGGACTTTTTCTGCCGGTCTTTCTTTCAAGAAGTATCTTCTGTTCTTCTATCTGCTCCAGGCTGGTCTGCTCGTCCTTTCCAGTGGAAATTTTCTATGTCAGTCGGTTCTGGATGGGGCTTTGGATTCCACCTATGGTCTTTTGCAAGGTAAAGGCTCCACAGGAAGCCTCTTTCACTGGGCAACTTCTAGCCCCCTTTAAGGTATTCTAATCAGTTATAGACTGAAGACGGACTTACACGCTTTCTGTAGTGATGATTTTGGCTATTCCTTTCTCTCCCTCCCCCGCCCCCCATGTGTCTATTTTACAATGGTAGGAAAGGGAAACGAAGATTCAAAGGACAGCCAAGCATCTTAACACTATTTCCCTCTTTTAACCCTTCAAACCGTGCCTCAATCCCAGTACCCGGAGCCCTGTTGTTCCAAGGTTGTGCATACATCATCATTTACCTCTGTCCCATTTAGCCCATGCAGACCTGCCTAACTGATCTCCCATCAGCCTTATTCTTCCATTACCCTCCCCCATCTTGTATTCCTTACCCTGTGCTCTATATCTTCCCCTCCCTCCCTCCCCTTCTCTCATCCCATACATCCTGGTGATCAGCAAATATATATATACTTTTTTCCCCCTTTTAGTGTGGGTTCTTTTTCTTACTCCTTTTCAATAATTGTCCTATACAGTGTTTCTCCTTTTGTGACTGACAAATTTAACTCAGCATAATGTCCTCAAGGTTTATCCATGTTATGCGGTGGTTTGCAGCTTCCTTGTTGTTCTTCAGGGTGGCATATTATTCCATTGTGTGTATGTACCAAAGTTTGTTTATCCATTCTTCATTTGATGGGCACTTAGGCTGTCTCCATCTTTTTGCTATTGTAAATAGTGCTGCTATGAACATTGGTGTGTATATGTTTACTCGTGTTATGGCTCGTATTTCTTGTGGGTAAACACCAAGTAGAGGAATTGCTGGATCATAAAGTATTTCCATTTCCAACCTTCTGAAGAAGCGCCATATTGCTTTCCAGAGTTGCTGGACCATCTTGCAATCCCACCAGCAATGCGGGAGCGTCCCAGTCTCTCCACATCCTCGCCAGCACTTATTGTCCTCTAGTTTTTTTATCTTTGCTGTTATTGCTGGTGTGAGATGATATCTCATTGTTGTTTTGATTTGCATCTCTCTAATGGCTA